ACGTTCACCACCCTAGGGGAATGTAATGATCTCTTCGGAGAGGATGATTTATTTTCGTTTTGGGCCACGGCCTTATTAGGTGCTTCTCTTGAGCGGGTTTTCGACTCCCTTCGAAATGTGGACATTAGAACCAGCCATCAGCAGGATTCTCATGGGGCCCGGACTCTCGGAGGTCGTTTCATACAGAGGTTGACAGAGACAGCGTCATCGAAGACGGATAGGGCGGATGAGTGACCTTGGTGCGATCAAGCACATACTGGTAGTCAGTGTGCGCGGTGAGGCCGAGCCACTGACAGTCTCGCACAAGCTCATCCTACGTGCGAGCTGCAACTTGGTCTCCGTAGTCTCACCAACGTGCGCGAGCAGGGGCTGTCGCCGCGCCCGGACCCAGAATGCCTGCCTGCACCCTCGCATAGAGCTGGCTGCTCGCAGCAGGCTGCGTGAACGACTGCCCGCGGGCGAGAGGGGAGGGTCTGCCCGCAAAGCCTGGTGACCTCAGGGAAGCGGGGGCGGGGGCGCAGTTAGGCACCGCGGTGCCCCTTGGCTGGACAGCCCTGGTTGTTGGCCGGGGTTCCCGTTCACCTGCGCGCCACAGACGCAGTCCCGGACAGGGACCCGGCGAGGAGAGAGGCCTTCTCTCTTCTCTCCAACGGAGGACGTCCGGGTGTATAGTGTTGTGACAGGAGGCCGGCTGCCCAATGTCCACACCTCAGGGCTCCCGCCCTGGGACGGCTTCCACGCCGTGTTTATTTTTGAGTCGGTATCTGGTGATTTCTTTTTCTCTTGATACGGGTTTTTTGTTTTGTTTTTTTGCTTTTTAGCATGTCCAGAAATTTTTGACTGGGTGCTGTACATTGTGAGTTGACCATTGGTTAGATATTTGTATTTATTTTAGACAGGGGAGAGGAAGTAATTCGGTAATTATTGGAAAATAGCAGCCTCTGCTATTTATTTCTTTACTTCTTTATTTATTTTTATGGTCAGAGCTGAGATTTAAGAATCCATTGCTTTGAGGTCCTGAAGAGCAGAGCGGGGGTGGGGGGTGAGGCTAATGTTTTGCCATTTCGGGAAAGAGAAATTACGCAGCATTTGACGGGGTGTGTTTGAGTGACTTGGGGGCTGAAATACGCAGCGGCTTACCCCTGAAGGCTGTCGGGACTGTCCCACTCCGGGTTGGAGGTTCTTCTACCTTTGGAGATACTTGCTCCTCCCAACTGTAGCCACTTCAAGGTGACCTTGAGGCCATGTAAGGTTTCGTTTCTGTCACAGGCCTTAGAGAGCTTGAGCAGACTTGTTGTGAGAGCTTTAACTTACGAGGGTGCCATCAAATCCTCTAAAGACTAGCTAATTATAATAATTAGCAATGTTAGAAATCAACTTTTTGACAATATATTAATAATCACATATGATTTCAGAATTTTCCCAACACTTTTTTTTAAAAAAGATTTATTTATTTGAAAGGCAGAGTTTGAGAGGGAGAGAAACCTTCCATTTGCTGGTTCACTCCCCAAATGGCTGCAACATTTGAGGCTGTGGCTGGGCGGGTCTGAAGCCAGGAGTCAGGAAATTCTGGGTCTCCCACGTGAGTGTCAGGGGCCCAAGCACTTGGGCCATCCTCCACTGGCTTCCCAGGCCATTATCAGGGAGCTGGACTGAAGTGGAGCATCCGGGACTCGAACTCATGCCCATATGGGATGCCAGCATCACAGATGGTAGCTTTACCCACGATGCCACAAAGCCAGCCCTTGCCCAACACTTTTAAAAAATTTGGTTTTTGAAAGACACAGAGACAGGCAGAGAGCTCTCCCATCTGCTGGTTCACTCCCTAAACACCACAACAGTCAGAGCTGGGCCAGATGAAAGCTGGGATCTGGAAACTCTATTCCAGTCCCCCAAGCAGGTGGCAGGAATTCCAGGGCTTGAGCCACCACCTGCTGCTAACCAGGGTTCACATTAGCAGGAAGATGCAATCAAAAGCAGAGCTGGGACTTGAACTCAGATACTCGAGTATGGATGCTGATATCCCAAGTGAGGCCTTAAGCACTGTGCTAACCCCATCCCCCACACTTATATACGTGATTTCATATGGTTTTCCAAAGATTCTGAGATGGACACATACTTAACCCTCACTCCTGCCTTGGGGACAGTGATAGAGGCTGAGTTCATGTGTTCCATGGGGAAGAAGGGAAGGCAGCATTTCTTGAGTTTTTCACAAAGAATTTGTTTTAAACAATTTTTAATTAAAACATTTTTATTAAGATGTATTTATTTATTTGAAAGAGAATTTTTGAGTGAGGGTGAGAAACAGAGATCTTCCATCTACTTGTTCACTCACCAAATGACTACAAAAGCCAGGAGCCAGGAGCTTCATCTGGGTCTCCCACATGGGGGGCAGGCACCCGAGGACTTGGGCCATCTTCCATTGCCTTCCCAGGTGCTGCAGCAGAGAGTTGGATCAAAAGTGGAGCAGCTGGGACCAGAACCAGCACTCATATAGGATGCTGGTGTTGCGGGCAGTGGCTTAACTGTGCCATGACACCAGTCCCACCATTTTTAATCTTTAAAAAGCTTGAATTATAGAGGCCGGCGCCGCGGCTCACTAGGCTAATCCTCTGCCTTGCGGCGCCGGCACACCGGGTTCTAGTCCCGGTCGGGGCGCCGAATTCTGTCCCGGTTGCCCCTCTTCCAGGCCAGCTCTCTGCTGTGGCCAGGGAGTGCAGTGGAGGATGGCCCAGGTCCTTGGGCTCTGCACCCCATGGGAGACCAGGAGAAGCACCTGGCTCCTGCCATTGGATCAGCGCGGTGTGCTGGCCGCGGCGGCCATTGGAGGGTGAACCAACGGCAAAGGAAGACCTTTCTCTCTGTCTCTCTCACTATCCACTCTGCCTGTCCAAAAAAAAAAAAAAAAAAAAAAGCTTGAATTTTAGTTCAATTAAATCTGAAAATGTAGTTTTTTTTTATTGGATGGCGGTGGTGAGACCAAAGGAGAGTGCCCACCTGCTTATTCACTCTAAATGCCTGCAAAGCCAGGGCGGGCCAGTAAAAGCTGGGAGCTGGGAACACAGTCCAAGTGTCCCGTGAGGGTGGCAGAAAACCAATCTCCTGAGCTGTCACCACTGTCTTCCCAAGGTCTATGGCAGCCGGAAGCTGAATCAGAAGCCAGAGGCCAACAATGAACCTCAGTACTCCAGTAAGGGTCGTGGGCTTAACTGACATCTTAATGGTAAGGCTAAATGTCTACTTTCCAGTTTTAGTTTACTTATTCATTTACTTTTTTAGAGGTTTTTAAAAAGTTATTTTATTTATTTGAAAGGCAGAGTTAGAGAGAGGCAGAGGCAGAGAGAGAGAGGTCTTCCATCCACTGGTTCTCTCCCCTGATGGCCACAATGGCTGGAGTTGGGCCAAACTGAAGCCAGGAACTAGGAGCTTCTTCTGGGTCTCCCACACAGGTGCAGGGGCTCAAGGACTTGGCCCATGTTCTACTGCTTTCCCAGGCCATAGCCGAAAGCTGGATTGGAAGTGGAGCAGCTAGGACTTGAACCAGTGCCATTTCAGATGCCAGCGTTGCAGGTGGAAGCTTAGCCTACTACACCATAGTGCCAGCCCCAAGTATAAAATAAAGGTCTATTGGTGAAATGTTTTTTTCCCCCCCTTGGCTTATGTTTTTTTTTTTTTTCTCTTGATTTTTGTACATTGATTTTCCATTCTTACTTTTAGTTGTTTTTTTTTTTTATAGGTAATTTGAGCTTTTTCTACATAACTGATAACATTATGAGTGATGGTAGTTGTATGTCTTCCTTTCTAATCTGTGTTTCACTCCTTTTTTTTTTTTTTTTTGACAGGCAGAGTGGACAGTGAGAGAGAGAGACAGAGAGAAAGGTCTTCCTTTTTGCCATTGGTTCACCCTCCAATGGCCGCCGCGGCCGGCGCGCTGCGGCCGGCGCACTGCGCTGATCCGAAGCCAGGAGCTTCTCCTGGTCTCCCATGGGGTGCAGGGCCCAAGCACTTGGGCCATCCTCCACTGCATTCCCTGGCCACAGCAGAGAGCTGGCCTGGAAGAGGGGCAACTGGGACAGAATCCGGCACCCCGACTGGGACTAGAACCCGGTGTGCCAGCGCCGCAAGGCGGAGGATTAGTCTAATGAGCCATGGCGCCGGCCAAAAGAGTTTTTAAAACTCCTTAAAATGTTATGTTGGGGGCTGGTGTTGTGGCATAGTGGGTAGGGCCACCACATGAGATACCAGCGTCCCTGGGCAGCAGTTCATGTTCTGGCTGCTCCACTTCTGATCCAGCTCCGTGATAACGGCCTGGGAAAAGCAGCAGAAGAGGGACCAAGTATTTAGGCCCCTGCCATCCACTGGGGGAGACCTGGATGAGGCTCTTGCTCCTGGCTTTGGTTTGGCCCTAGCCTGGCCCAACTGTGGTCATTGTGGCCATCTGCAGAGTGAACCAGCAGATGTAAGATCTCTCTGTGTCTGTCTCTCCCTTTCTCTGTGTAATGCCGACTTTCCAATAAATAAATAAATTTTTTAAAAAACACACATATTGCTACACAACAGCAGGAGCCTGGCACCCCACCCAAGCCTTCGACGTGGGTGGCAGGGGCCCAAGTACTTGGACCGTCATCTGCTGCTTTCCCAGGTACATTAATTCAAAGTGTATTAATGGCATGGACCCACTAAGATCTGTGAAGATGATTGCAAATAGTAGCCTGAAGTATTCTTGGGACATTGAGAGAAAATTGTAGAGCTGACAGGTAAATGAATGTCCCTAAAAAAATTTCCCAGATGGTTCTCTCTGGGAGTTAGTCGGGGACAGACATTAGACTGTCTCCACCCATCACTCATTCTTCATCATTCCACCAGTCTTTCCCCCAACAACCAGGCACCTGGTCCACATGGCCTGT